TTTTTCAATCCGCATGGTTAACTGAAGTTGTTTCAATGCAATGTTAAATTTACCTAACCTTTCTTCAGAAATGGAAATGACCTTGGAGAATGACCCCTCAAAAGAAAGGTGGGCTGTGGTGTAGACATGTGTCGCAAGTTATTTGGGTAAGGTCAGGGGTCGTCAGTTGTTTCTTTTTGACAACTTGTTTCAGCTTTGCTGTGATGCTATTTTTGCACAACAAAGGAAGATGACTTAGTCGTTTTAGCACTTTGCCCCATACAAATATGTGTCTGTACTTGTATTACCTTCGTTTGGTAATAAATTGCTAATTTTTTAAGGTTGGCAGTTGGTAACAGATGTATGTATGTGCTGTGTTACCTTAATTCAATGCAAAGAACAGTGGGCACACATGACCCGTTATGCCGTCTCACTGACTATGACAGAATGCATCAGCTGATTCGATCTGCATTCAAGCCTTGTTGTAGGTCAACAGTATAAGGGACAAAATGATACACATAATTTCCGTTATTTCTGAATAGTGTGACTTCCAGAAGTATAACTGCCACTTGTGCTGCAGGAAAACTCCTGCATCTTGGTGTTACCGTATACATTATGGTCTAGTTTGATGCCAACATAATTCACTTCATGTTTTACTTTCCATTTACTTCCTTACGTCCTTTACTATTTTAATACAGCTAAAATTCAAATTTTGCATGTGTGGCGTACATGTAAGCGTTTGAATAAGAGTAAAAACTAAAACATATTTAGCACATTGCTTAGTTAGGGTATAAAAAACCCAATCAATTTTTGGTGCAAATTGTGCAAAGGTATTCTTAGTATGTCCTTGAGTCTAGTAGATGTTAATGGATGAGCAACTGTGCAATGCCCTTCAAATTAAATATGACATGCCAAATACGTCATTTGAGGAGGAGCCTGAGAAGGTTTAAATAAGAATTAGATTCCTCAATGACTAGGAAGACTGAGAGAACCAACTGTGCTGTTGGTTAAGCACTCTCTCTTTTCCTTTGATTAATTTAGTTTCATGCTTTCAGAATAAAGGTCGTGGTCAGACCAGGGGAGGATCTTTGTTGTGCTTACTTTTTACTGTTGATCAAATCAACATTTTAGCTCAAAATTCTAATAAAAAATGCAATTGTGTAGAGATAACAAATTGCTAGGAGGGAAAAGAAAGTTGGAGCGACTGAGCTGAAGAGTAAACCTGTGTGTGCTCCAGCCAAATATACAAGACATGCATAGTTTAAAGTGACATAAGCATATTACTGTAGCATGCCAAAAAAATAATTAAAGACATACAGACAAATGTGTTGATTGATCATATGATATGTGTAATTCTAAACAAAGGAAATTGTCTTCATAGCACATGCCTTGGTGTTGACTCCCCTGCAGTTGCCAATAAGGGCAACAAAGCCAAACTCACCCGCTAAAAATATCTCGGTAGACAAATGGACCACACGTGTGTTTGGTGCCACAAAGGCAAGAGCACCTTTACCATGCGGGAAATTAATCATTAAACAAGTTACATTCATGTCCTTCAAATTGTTATTTTGGCCGTAGCTGGGCCAAATAGCTAAATTATTAAATAAATCAATACCAACTCAACAAATATCCCTGTAAATTGATTTTTATTTAACTCTACCAGAGTCTGGATACATTTTATTCCGGCTGTGGCCTCTCTAAACACAGCCAAGCCACAGGCCCGTACTTGGATCCTTGCAATGGTTAAGAATTTATACTAAGCCCATTGTCATTCCATAACAGCGAGTGTCTCACTGTGACTAGTGTCATCGACTCAATGTTAAGTCCCACCGTTTTGTCAGAGAGTAATTTGTCTATGGTTTCAATTTTACATTCCTAAAGGGGTGGTTTGAGCTTGTACGTATGAGGACTCAATAAAAAGAATAACAAGTTTGAACGCAAAAAAACAACAATGCACGCTGCACCTGTCGACAATTTGACAACATTTTCACGAAGAGCTGCAAGAATCTCACAAGATAACATAAACTGTTCCCAGGGGACTCTAAAAGGGATAGCAACAGCTGGGACGCACTTTAAATGGTTCGTGGCTTGTGAAGTTTTTGATGTCTTTCTATCTACCGTGGATTCCGTAGAAGTTGGAACATGACCTAAGATATACGTTCTCTCTGTACTGTTTTGATGTGTCAGTTTTATTCTCATGGATGAGTGATGATCCCCTTGACCAATCAAATGACAGAAACAACTGGTTGAAGAAGTGAATGAATGAATGATGAGTAAAGAGATGTTTAAAAACACAGACAAAACACCCAAATTGTATCAGGAATTTCAGTTTTAAGTCGTTCTGTGTACTACAAAATAGAACAGATTTTATTTGAAAAAAAGCTGATATTTTTAGACATATTAGTGATATTAGGGCCTCTAATATTGTTGACTTTTGATTTGGTCAACATTTTTAAGGACCCAAATAAAACATACAGTGCACTAGATGTAAAGTCATTGCAGATGTGACTTATACTTTAACTAACTAATCCTACAAGCTGCCTGGATAAAATATTTTCAAAATGTAACATGCACGCTCACCAACATCAACCGACCTCTGCTCATCTTCTTTGCGTGCCCTCTCTGTCTGCTCTGCGGCGGCGCTCAGCTCCTCAACCTCAGGCAGCATCAGGCCATTTCTGCGCTCCTCCATGACGACCTGCTTGCCTCCAGTCCACTGAGAGCGTCAGTGGACTGGAGAATCATATCCTTTTTAGCCTTTGACCCAGAAGGTCATCAGCAATACTAATTTGTCCACACTTCTAATGTTATCATAGGCCACCAACGAAATGATCCCTTTCCAGCATTATGGCTCTTAGCTCTCAGCTTGTCTACATGAAATGCCAGCGTTTTCTAAAGCTCAGCCTGAACCTTCTTGAGCGTGGACACATGAGCGTTGGCCTGCTCTTTGTGTGCAGGGATTACAATACCTCTGCTGGGATCAAAACTGTGGTCACATCTGCTTTAAGATGAATATTTGTTTACAGGTATGATAGATTTAAATATGTTATACATATATTACTCAGCCTGCATTTAAATTGTTTATTGCTTTTCTTTTTTTAGGAAATTACCTTGACTGATCCAAATCTTTTGGAGTTGTTTATCTTATACATGCTGAGTTAAGCAGTAATATCAACAGTACTCGACCTAAACAATAAAATCCTCACTCTATGGTTTGTGGATTATGCTATCCAATAAGTAAACAGTTTATGATAGGCACATGTATCCTACTTATTTTGATTTCACAGCCAGTGATGAGTTTTAAATTTGGAGAAGCCTTTAAATGTCACTGGTGTATAGTTACTAGACATACTAATCTCATACATCTGAGATAAAATTCTAGCCATGGTCCGTTCGTTAACGCTGGAGGTTGTTGGAAGTGTTGTATTTCCTGGGAACAGAAGGATTAACAGCTCAAACGATTTAACACCAGATAAAGGTTCCTAATAAATGGCATAGATATTTTCTTCAGTAGGCATGAAAAAGTTGCAGCTTTTGAGTTTAAACTGAATTATTTAATAAAGGGTAAAGTCTAAGATCATCTACAAGATTAACTTTAGTTTTGAGCAGGCTTGGCGGATTATTTGCTATCTTATAATGATAAATATGAATGAATTATAGTGATCTGGAAGATCACAAAGTATTACTACGGTCTAAAATAAATCTAGAGAGGGAGCAGTGAATTGTATTTGGCATAAAGAGGAGGACATATTTATAGGACAGATTTAGTATGGTATTAACACCATACCATTTTGCCTGTGCACCTTATCGTTTGTATTTGCATTTCATATTATATTCTATTGTTAATTTAATTGTAAATTATTCACTTTTGTTTCATGCCATGTATGCACCACCAACCATGACAATTTCCAACATACATGGGCAATAAATGTTTTAAATTTTTAAAATATAATCAATCAAATCAATCAAGCAATATTAATTTGATCAGAATAATAATGTTTATGTTATGGTAATTTTTGTTAAAATATTGTGGAAACTTGGGAAGGATTAAGCTGAAATAATTCAAGACTCATCAGGAAGGTTAAAGGTTAAATTTACATTTATGAAAAACATTCTCCACCACATCCACCACTTCAATTTTTGCAATTATTTGAAATCTAATTACAGGCTTCCATTGAATTACTGGTTCTGCTCTGGTTTATTAGAATATAACTTATTCTCTTTATATTCAACACACTGTTTCTTAATGTGGGTATGAGCTATGCTGCGAGGAGGATATCAAACATTGCGAGGGGCCGGTGTCTTAGTTGATGACCCTTTCAAGGTTGTACAGCATGATCTGAAATAGAAAGACATCTGCAAGTCTGTCCTTGTGTGTCAGTAAGCATAAACTGATGACGGAGGCAGAGAGAGTACATATAAGGTGATACACAAGGTGTTACATGCGTGTACTTGGTTGACCCACTCTGTATTGTGTGATTGACTGTTTTAACCACAACTACATGTCATGTTTTATTAATCGCTCATTGCCGATTAATTTAGAATATATTGCATGCATATTTTAAGGAGGCGTTTCTGAAATATATGCACAGATGTTTTGTCCTTCTGTTTAGTAAATTGTCTATTTTGCTAATGTATTGCAACATTAGTTACTCTTTTTCCCTTTAAGAGATCTCAGAAGCCATGTGAAATCATAGTACCCTTAAAGTCCACAGGGTCGGATTAAGTGGTATCAAAAGCTTACCACCTCATTCTGCTCCAAGCTTACAAGTCAAGGTTTAATACCTTCCAGGAGACGGAGTGCAGTGACTTCTATTTATCGCCTGTGACACGTCGAATAAAGCGCTGCATGGGGCAGGACAGGACACAGGCTTTTTTTCAAGTAAGCAAAATTCGATTTGTCTCTTTAAATTGAAAAAAAGTTGATCATATTCTTACACACTCATAGCACTGCCGATACAGGATAATATAGCATGGCTTAATGCTCTAGCAAGTTAGTTGTCAGAAAGGAAAGGACAGCATTCTGGATTGCAATTATAACCTTTATTGAAAAGGTAAAGGCCCCAGGCACTAGTTCATATTTTATGAACTTTGTGGAAAGGCCTTAACCCGAGGAGGTCTCTCACTCAGCAGACTCACACTAAAGAAGAAGAGAGGAAATCAATTAGCATAGTAAATTCTCTGCTGCGGTATGAAGTTGCACTGTCAATGATAAAAGGGCACAGGAACAATTGTGTTTGTGTCAATGCAATGGATACTGTGATCATGCAAACAACCAACATACCTTTCCACCATCCCTGCTTTTGGCTCTCAGCTTGTTGACCTGAGACTCAGCGATGTCAGCACGCTCCTGAGCCTCCTCCAGCTCATTCTGGGTCTTTCTGTGTCTTGACATGTGAGTGTTGGCCTGCTCCTCCTGTGAAGGGATTTAAGTATTGACAAAGCCACAAGGCAGTTAAGAGTGATGTCATTAGTAAATCCACTGTAAATAACGTGTCACATTATCTATTTGACTTACAGCGTCTTCCGCTTGTCTCTTGTAAGCCTTCACTTTAAGTTGCAGCTTGTCCACAAGGTCCTGAAGTCTGGTCACATTCTTCTTGTCCTCTTCAGTCTGCATGGATAAAAAATGATTAGCAATGAAACACAAAATCAAAACGGTTATCAGTTCAGTTTACCTGGTAGGTCAGCTCCTTCACTCTCCTCTCATATTTGCGGACACCTTTCACAGCATCAGCTCCACGTCTCTGCTCGCCTTCAACTTCAGCTTCCAGCTCACGCACCTGTAAAGTGATGATATAAACAATAAATCAAGATTTATTTTATTTAACTTATCTGTGTGCACTTAGATACAGCACATACCCTGGACTCCAATTTCTGGAGCTGCTTCTTGCCACCCTTCATGGCGAGGTTCTCAGCCTCGTCCAGACGGTGCTGAAGGTCCTTTACTGTGACCTCCAGGTTCTTCTTCATCCTCTCCAAGTGAGCACTGGTGTCTTGCTCCTTCTTCAGTTCCTCTGCCATCATGGCAGCCTGAAATGATACAATGGTCTCAAAGTCTTACATAATATCAAATAAACATCTCACATCTAACATAAAGGAGCTGGAGATGTAGACTCACGTCAGTGATAGCCTTTTTGGCTTTCTCTTCAGCATTTCTTGCTTCCTGAACTGAATCTTCCACTTCACCCTGTACCTGGACAAGGTCAGTCTCCAGCTTCTTCTTGGTGTTCATGAGACTGGTGTTCTGAAGGTGAAAAAATGAACCGTGTTTATTATCATGTTTGTAATATAATTTCAGGGTACTAGGTTCTTGTGAATTTTTGACGACAAACCTGAGAGTGAAGAAGTCCCGCGCGCTCACTAGCATCAACCAGCTCCTGCTCGGCCACTTTGCGTCCCCTCTCTGTCTGCTCTAGAGCGGCTCTCAGCTCCTCAATCTCAGCCAGCATCAGGCCATTCCTGCGCTCCACCATGGCAACCTGCTCCTTCATGTCCTCCTGTCCTCTGACAGCATCATCAAGGTGCAGTTGGGCATCCTGAAGTCATAACAATTAAGACTTAATTCTAACTTTCTTTACCCTCAAACCTTATTTGATATTCAGCTATTCAAGCAAACTCACCTTGAGCTGTCCCTGGGTGTTCCTCAGTTGTTTCTGGGCCTCAGCGGCCTGCCTGTTGGCGTGACTCAGCTGAATCTCCATCTCATTCAGGTCTCCCTCCATCTTTTTCTTGATTCTCAGGGCATCATTCCTGCTCCTGACCTCAGCGTCAAGAGTGCTCTGCATGGAGTCCGTCACCCTCTGGCTGTTCCTCTTGATCTGCTCCATCTCTTCATCCTTCTCTGACAGTTTCCTGTCAACCTCACCTTTGATCTGGTTGAGCTCCAGTTGAACACGGAGAATCTTGGACTCCTCATGCTCCAGTGTACCCTTGGTGTAATTTCAAAAGTTAAGTTATTTAAAATTGGTAACTCGTACAATAAATTACTTTTGTTGTGTTGTGATAAATGCTAAAGGTGCTGTTTCTACTATCCTATTTTGTTAAGTTTTGATTTAAACAAATCATCATTACGGTATAAGTTGACCAGATTTACAACTTTTTTATGTAGGAGCAGATATTTTGTCTTTTGAATATGTTCCAAACCAAAGTCCCAATGTCTTTTGGAATTGTCAAGATGATTGAACAACACTAAAGAACTGACTTCTTGCTAGATGTTTTTTGTGAGTCAACTCCTGATGTTGTTGTACCTCGGCTTCCTCCAGTGCTGTCTGAATTTCAGTCTTCTCAGTCTCCAAAGTCTTCTTTGCTTTTTCCAGCTCATGGATACTCTTTCCAGTATCTCCGATCTGTTCAGTCAGGTCTGAGATCTCCTCTAAAGGAAGGATAATACACAACAAAAGAAATTACACTTTTGGGAGATATACAACCAATATTATTTCCCCTCCGGTAAAACTGTTCACATACGCTGTAGGTTCTTGTTTTCTCTCTTCATGGTCTCCAGTTGGTCGAGAGCCTCCTCATAGGAGTTCTTCATCTTGAAGAGTTCAGTGCTGAGAGAGCGAGCCTCCTTCTGGGCTCCTTCCAGCTCCGCTTGGCTCTCCTCATACTTCTGCTTCCATTCTGCCAGGACCTGAAATTATATATATATTTATGAAGTATTTCCTATATTAGGAAACATTCATTCAACAGTACAATACATCTATTTACCTTATCAAAGTTCCTCTGCTTCTTGTCAAGGTTGGCAGCCAGAGAATTAGCTCTCTCCACGTCAATCATGAGATCCTCCACTTCCCCCTGCAGCCTCTGCTTGGTCTTCTCCAGAGACGCACACTTGGAGTTCACAGCCTCGATGGATTCCTCAGCCTCCTGAAGGCGCTGAGCAAGCTTTTTCCTGCAGTAAACACGTAGGAATACATTTTTGACGCTCCAATGCATTACAAATTCTATCAATGTATGGAACAGTAGACATGGTTCATTTACTTTGACTCCTCCAGCTCCTCAGTTCGCTGGATAGCATCAGTCTCATATTTGGATCTCCACTGGGCCACCTCACTGTTGGCCTTGGACATTCCTCTCTGCAGCTCTGCCTTGGCCTCCTGCTCCTCCTCAAACTGTTCTCTGAGCAGATCACAGTCATGGCGGGCGGACTGGACAGCATGGGCCAGGGCGTTCTTGGCCTGTTTGCCATGACAAGACACTTTATTTACTGACCTATATATACATTGCAAAAATAAATAAATAACTGTTTAAGAAAGCAAGAGTTTCTCTCTAACCTCCACGAGATGTTAGTTTCACTATTGTGTTAGCTAAGTATTGGTGTGCTTTTGGGTATTGGATTACCTTCACTTCCTCCTCAATGTGCCTCCTAAACTCCTCAATCTGCTGAGTGAACGCCTGCTTGCCCCTGGTCAGCTGGGAAACCAGAGCTTCTTTCTCCTCGAGCTGACGGGAATACTCACCTGAAAGACAATTTTTGAATTACTTTTTTGAATTGGTTAACTCACCTATGGAGTGCTTTTCATTCAGGGAATGCAGATGACTTACCGTTCTCTGTCTGTAATCTAGCCCTCTGGGTATTGATGTCATTCAGTTGGCGAACGTGCTCATCATTTTTGGATTTGAGCTCACTGAACTGGTCCTCAAGAGATCTGCACATTTTCTCCAAGTTGCTCTATCATCATTAAACATGCTAAATTAGTATTCCAGCAATACAGACGTTTACTGCTTATCGATCATTTTGTATGACTATTCTTGATATGATCATGTTATATCCATTTGCAGATGGTAAATATGTTTACAATTCTCAAAACATTGATGCTAAAACAGTCCCCCCACCTTTGATTTGGCAACAGACTCCATGTTGCTTGAGAGGTCATCAATCTCCATCTTGTACTCGCTCTTTTCCTTCTCCAGCTTCTGCTTGACGCGCTGCAGGTTGTCGATCTGCTCTCCCAGCTCTGCAACACTGTCAGCTTGCTTCTTGCGGAGAGCTGCTGCGGTAGCTTCATGCTGCAGGGTGGACTCTTCAAGATCCCGACGCAGCTTCTGGAACTCAGCCTCCCGCTTCTTGTTCATCTCGATCTGAGCTGCTGTTGCTCCACCAGCTTCTTCAAGCCTCTCACTGATCTCCTCGAGCTCCCTGGAGAGGTCAGCCCTCTGCTTCTCCACCTTGGCCCGAGCCGCCCTTTCAGCCTCAATCTCTTCCTCCAACTCCTCAATACGAGCCTGGATTTAATGATAGTATTATCGATGCAACTTATTAAACGTATTGTTTCTTTTCAGTAACTGACTTTGATATGTATGCCAATTACTTTACCTGGAGTTCTTTGATCTTCTTCTGCAGCTGAGCACCAAGAGACTGTTCATCCTCAATCTTGCTGAGAAGCTGACTGATCTCAAAGTCCTTCCTGAAAAAGGAGACCAAGCACATTAGTCCTATGAAGTCCTTCTCAGAATGATCTTGTTGTAACACGGTAATTGTTGAAAGTAAGGATGGAAAATAACAGAATAACTTACTTCTTGATTTTCTCATCAGATTGTTGCTTGTCGTTCTCCAGATCCATTATGGATTCCTGGGCCAGTTTCAGATCTCCCTCAAGCTTCCTCTTGGCTCTCTCAAGGTCCATGCGAAGCTTTTTCTCTTGCTCCAGTGATCCCTCAAGCTTTTAAAATAAAATGTTTTTTACATCAATCCTATAACCCAAACTACTTGATACTTTAACAACGTCAAAAGCAATGTTTTCTTACATCGTCCACTTGCTGTTCCAGCTTGGTCTTGGCCTTGGTCAGAGTGTTGACTTTGTCTTCCTCTGCCTGGAGATCATCAAGTGTTTGCTGGTGAGCCTCTTGGAGGGCTTTCTTCTCCTTGGTTAACTTGGCAATAGACTCATCTTGAGATGCCATTTCCTCCGTCAGGTTTTTCACCTGAAAAGAGAATGAGGGATGTGTGTTTTAGTATAAAATAGCATCTTTGCATACAGTATATAATACTGCATAAATATGTTATTAGTTAGTATCAGTGTATAATTCAAGTTTTGTGAACCTTGTTTTCTGTGGCATGTTTCTCCTTCTCCACTTTAGCCAAGGTGAGCTCCAAGTCATCAATGTCTTTCTTCAGCTCAGAGCATTCATCCTCCAGCTTCCGCTTCTTAGCAGTCAGCTCAGCATTCATCTCCTCTTCATCCTCCAGTCTCTCAGTTGTCTCTTTGAGTTTGGCCTCCAGCTGGATTTTGCTCTTGATGAGCCCTTCACACCTTTCCTCAGCATCACAGAGATTGTCACCTTCCTGTAGTTTGAACATACAAGTGGTAAAACATTTACCGCATTTTAGATTAACCATAACATTTAGAGTATATTATTTATTGATTGACTATGCAGAATGGCCCCCTGATTGGTGAATTTGCTTCACTTACTGAAGCCACTTGTAATTGCAAGTCATTCTTTTCCTGCAGCAGAGAAACCATCTTCTCCTCCAGTTCTTTCTTCTTGGTCAGTGCAGTAGACAGATCTGATTTCATCTTATCATAGTTCTCCTTCATTTGTTGAAGCTCCTTCTCAGTCTCAGCGGTCTTCAGAAGAGGCTTGATCTTGAAGTACAGATGCATCCATGGCCAGTTCTTCACATTCATGAATGAGCGGATGTTGTATTGGACTGTGAAGATTGCATCTCTAATAAGAAGACATAAAAATGTATTTAGGTTAACATCACACAGGAATGTAAGTTCAGATCATACAGCATGTCGTGTGGAAATCCTACCTCCTCTCCATCATTTTAACAAATTCTAATCTACTGAGGAAACCTCTGCAGAGAGCCTGAGTCATGGTCACCAGCGCAGCCAGTTTATCATCTCTCAATTCCTCCAGGGTACCCAGCAGACCTGCTTTGAAGAACACCTACGTTGTCAAAAGAAGGACATTATTCATTAGCACACATTGATGAAATAGAATATCTCTTAATAATGTACACGAGAAGAATGTACCTTTGTGTGCCCAAACTTGTACTGAGTGTGGTCCACATCAATGGAGCCCAACAGCTTCTCTGAAGCTTTTTTGTTGTCAATGAACTGTCCCTCAGGGATTATACTAGCATTCAATACTTTATATCTGCAATAGTAAATAATGGTGTTACTTATGTTGCCTTCCATCCTCAGACCCATGTATTACATCATCATCACTTAAATCAGTTCTATACCCAATTACCTCTGCTTAAAGTCAGCGTAGAGGATTCTGCTGGGGAAGCCCTTTCTGCAGATTCTGATGCCTTCCAGCACACCGTTACACCTCAGCTGGTGGATGACCAAGTGGTTCTCCATGAGACCTGGTAATTGCAAACAAAGTGGGTAAAAACTCTCTTTTTTACTAGCGCAGAAATGTGGATTATGAACAATTTACCTTGGGTTTTTGATTCATTAGGAATCAAGCAACGGACAAAATGAGGGTGGGTGCTCCTCAAGTTGCTCATCAGTTTGCCCAAATTCTCCTGTGAAGCGTCAAACCGATGTAATAGGTCAACATTTTTTAATCTTTTTTGGTTGTTATCCAAAGACTTTAAACGATACATACTCTGAAAAGAGCAGACACAGTCTGGAAGGAACCTCCCTTCTTCTTTCCAGCCTTTTTGCCACCAGCACCCTCTGTTTGAAAAAAACAGTTTTTACAAATGTTCAATCATTCTTCTCTGCAACAATGCTACTAAATGGTTTTCTTTGCTTCTCTTCGTGTTTCATCTCCCAAAAGCATGAATTTATAAATTACCCTTTTGCACAACTCCTTACCCTCAGGTGCATTGTGGGTTAAATAAAGTAATGCCAGCAGTTTGTTTGAAGATTTTTGGTACAGCTGAATAACTGAGTCATTCAGGGGGTCCTTGTTCTTGTCCAGCCATCCGGTGATGCTGTAGTCCACTGTACCGGCGTAGTGAGCCAGGGAGAAGTGAGCTTCGGCCTTGCCCTTTCCGGGTTTGGGCTTCTCAAAGGCTTTGGTTTTGCCAAGATGCTGATCATGCAGCTTGTTCTTGAAAGATGTATCAGAGGCCTTGGGGAACATGCACTCCTCTTCAAGGATGGAGAAGATGCCCATTGGCTGAAATGACATTTTATTATATTAACAAAAACGAATACTTAAGCACACATTCAGAAAAGAGTAATTCAGTTCTATCTGACAGTTTTGTCTTTACCTTCTCGATAAGCTCAATGCAGGCAGCCAAGTCCATACCGAAGTCAATGAACTCCCAATCAATGCCTTCCTTCTTGTACTCCTCTTGCTCCAGGACGAACATGTGGTGGTTGAAAAACTGTTGCAGTTTCTCATTGGTGAAGTTAATGCAGAGTTGCTCCAAGCTGTTGTACTAAACAGGTAGATCATCTGTTAAATGAACATTCAGTGTTCGTACTGTGTATCGTCTTTACTGATTTTAACTTACATCAAAGATCTCAAATCCAGCGATATCCAACACTCCGATGTAGAACTGTCTCGGCTGCTTCGTGGCTAGCATCTCATTGATACGGATGACCATCCACAAGAACATTTTCTCATAGATGGACTTGCACAGAGCATTGACAGCGTTGTTGACCTAGAAGTAAGAATTTTAGTGTGGTAGGTTCTTTTTGATATATTTTCATATCAAAATTCCAACATTTACGTATTATTTTCCATCCTCCTTTTTGTTACCTGTGGCACAGTCTGACCTTTGGTCACCATCTCATTTCCAACTTTGACTCTTGGATAGCACAAAGCTTTCAGCATGTCGGCTGAGTTCAGACCGACGAGATAGGCGATTTTATCAGCCACTGAGGGAGAGAAACAGAAGGAGTACTAAATACACATGAACTTGCATGGCACAGCAGAAAACGTACGTGTTGAGAATAGTATTATTATTTCAAACAATCACCCTCATTGCCATCAGGTTCAGCTTGCTCCTCACGCTGCTTCTGCTTGAATTTCAAGCTGCCGTGATGCATCACAGCTCCTGTCAGCTTGTAGATGCCCATTTTCTCATCAGCAGTGAAGCCCAAGATGTCAATGGCCGTCTGAAATGTAAAGTAACTTAAGTTATTGGTATGCGAAACATATTTCCCAGTGTACTATCCATTTAACTAATTGTGGTCTTTACATCTGTTGCAATGAACTCCTCAACGTCGTCAATGCTTTTGACAGTGATTTCCCCCTGACTGATCATAGGGTAGTCATAGGGGTTGGTGGTGATCAGGAGAATCTCTGCAGGAGAACAATAAAAATAAATAGAATGGTTTAGTGTTGTTTTGTTTTAGCATCGTTTACATCTACGTCCATCTCAAATGTTATTTGTAACATACCAAGGAGCTCAGGCTTGTGGCCAGTCATCAATTGATAGAAGATGTGGTAACTCCTCTCAGCAGACAATTGGAAGGTGACACGGGACTTTTCCAGCAAATCTAACATTAACAAATCAGGATCAGGACTGTTAGTTTAATCAAATCATATCATTGTTATTGACAATATATAGAGGTTTGCACAGCCTCACCGGCAGGCAACACGTTTTGATAAAATATTGCCAAAAGCATGTAGCAAAATAGAGCCAAAGATTTTAGAGCTTTTTCCAATAGAGCCTTGTACCTAAAACCATTTTCTTGTAACTCCTGGTGAATATATTCATACATATCATGTATGACATAACATACAGTGACATGGAATGTTTTTCTTTTAAACTACCTTCATACCCAAGAGAAAATGAAAACAAATGTGTTTCAGCAAAATGCAGAAAAATACTTACACGTTTCAATATCAGCGGAGGCCAGTTTGCCAGTGGTTCCAAAGTGAATTCTAATGAATTTACCCTAAACACGTCAACTTGAAGTTAGCAGGATTTTTGATAGTCACCTCAAAATATGCACATTCATTTCATGCCCTTTTAACACTTACGAAACGAGAAGAGTTGTCATTCCTCACAGTCTTGGCGTTGCCGTAGGCCTCAAGCAGAGGGTTGGCCGCAATGATTTGATCTTCCAGTGAACCCTACGAATAGATAGAAATAATATTGTGGTTGCAAAGAATCCATTAACATGTCATTTCATTTTATTAAACGTGACCATTTATACCTTTATTTTACTCGTCTCCTTTTTTGCACCGGCCACTGCAATTGTTGCAAAGTACTGGATGACACGCTTGGTGTTGACAGTCTTTCCTGCACCGGATTCTCCACTAGCGGGAAGAAATGGAAAGGGATAAAACTGGAGTCAAATCAATGTTCTTTATATATTAATGTAAAATAACATTGTATTATGTTATATGTGTATTCACTCACGTGATAAGGATAGACTGGTTCTCACGATCTGAAATAAACAAACAAATACTTTATTTTTATTCCTAAAATATGATGTATTGTGGAAATAAAGTGATATTTGAGGTGATATATGCTGCGTCTTCCCCAACAAATGAATCGGTTGTCCTCTCAAAATAAGAAATATTACCAGTGAGCATGAACTGATAGGCATTATCAGAGATGGAGAAGATGTGGGGCGGAGCCTCAATCCTCTTCTTGCCCCTGTATGCATTGACAACCTCAGCATCGTACACAGGAAGCCACTTGTAGGGGTTCACAACGACGCAGAAGAGGCCAGAGTAAGTCTGGAAAGGAAAGAAAGTTCATTGTATATTTGTGATTTATCGCTGCTACATCTGACATGCTGTTTACATAAAATCTATCTAGATTTTTATAAGAGCTGTGGCTGTAGAGGAGGTATGTTAATGTAGATATAAGCACTCACGTAGATCATCCATGATGCAAAACGCTCTTTGAGGTTATACAGCACACACGGTTCATTGAGATGGGTCATCATGGCCATGTCCTCAATTTTATCATACTTGGGAGGATTCATGGGATGGATGTCATCCTCTTTTACAGTGAGAGTCTATAAAGAAAAATGCAGTAAATGTGATGTCATCTGATTTCATAGTTCATGAGACATTTAAATAAAGAATGCATTCACCTATCTTTAACATAAATCATTTTGGTGAAGTCACATACTGTAGTATCTTTTAATAGTTTGATACATTTGATCTAATTTTCCCTTTCTAAGAAAGTATGTGAAGTAAATACAAAATGTGAAAACTTCAAGTTTTTTTTATAGAACCGTCATCAGTTAGTTTGGGGTTTCATGCAAGAGAACACTTACCTTTGACGGTTTTCCTTCATATAGCAGCGTCTCAACTGTGGCTTTGCCACCCTCTCTTTTGATGAGTTTACCCTTCAGATACATTTCAGCAGTATCAGCCACAAAAAAGGCTGTCTTGGCATCAAATGGTGCTGCTTGAGCCTCAATCCTCTCCCTCTCTCCTTTTCTGAGGTAAATTGCCGCAGGGCCATAGGCCGCCATCTCCGCGTCTGTGCTCATGGTGGCACTTTATTGGGGACTGAAAACAGAGGTAGGAATCTGGATTGGATATCTTAATTTGACCTTCAAGGTTGTGTTATTCGTGATGTCTTACCCTTGCCAATCCCAAAGGAATGCCACTGATCTTCTGTGACCTTGGAATGCTATTAAAGACAGATTGAAATAATCATTGAAGAGGACGGTGCATTTTATAGTGTCCACTGTAATGCGTAGTAAACAGCAGTCACCCTACATGAACTTAGACCTGTTATAGCAAACCTGTGTGGCTCCATAACTTTTATTACTGCACTGTAGTTGTCATTTGCACCTTCTTTTTTAATTATTTTTTGTGAATCTTCCAAATTGCTGGTCAATCTTTGTCAAAATGATTTTATTCTTCTTTTGAATTGCTTTTTGTTGACACTTTGTTTGCCCATAAAGTACTTTGAATGGCCTTTTTGATCAAATAGTTAGGAAATAGATTTAACTGTTTTGCCTTTACGATCGTCATACAATAATAATAATTAAAGATACTAATCCATTTTATTTGCATGGCGCTTTTCAGAATACTTAAAGACACTTTAGAACCAACAAATTTAAAAAAATCTATGCTCTAGAAACGCAAAAGACAAATAAGTCCTTACAAAATGTATTTCACAGTCCCTTCAGTGATCCAAAACAATTAGGATCATAGAAAGAATATGAAACATTAGACTTTCCTAGATTAATTGTTATTAGTAACAAAATGTATTTAGAAGCATTTTGTAGAATAGAAAATAACATCTTTGATTAATACTAATGGTTTACTCGCCTTACATTACTTCAATTTGGATTTTAAGCAAGTTAGATGACCATAAACACACACAAAGCACTAACCTGTGATGCCTGTCAGTTCTCAGAGGAGTCTGAAGCTGCTGCTTTTATAGAGGCTGGATCTGTCCAGTCAGCAGCCGTCCCCTGCTGAATTTGGTCAAGCATACCTCTAATTTGAGATCTGTCTCAGTAAGCTTTATGCATGCTTAAGATTTAACATTGCTTAACAATCAAAACAGAAATAAAACAAGCAAATCAAATGCTAATTCATCCAACATAGGCTCAATTATCCAAATGTGTATGTTATATAGTCATTTTAAAACAAAACTAAATTTTTAAATAAATATTCATCTATTAAGTCATTATTTTGTCTTTACTTTTTCAACCCATTAGCTCTTTGCCCTAAAAAAGGAGTGTTTAGAGTCAGCGCAAGTGGACATTTCAAATCTTTTAAATGAAATACAATTTTATATCATTGGCAAATATTACGAATATAAGTCAAATAAAGTGCAGTATTGTAGCTTACATCCCTCATACAACATCTATATATTTTGAAGAGTATGACTAGTAGGATTTATCGTGTCGTGCGACATATCATCTTCTTAGCTGGAGTCCAAAACATGTCCCAAAATAGATGCTGTGCAACAATTATTTCTTTGTTTGTTATTTGTTTCTATATATAATTTACTCATGTAATTAAATCAATAATTTGTTGTTTCCAATTGAGCCTTCTTGAGAAGGATCTCTTTATTTTATATTAGAGGTCGTCTATTCCTGCCCTTGTAATTAAACATGCCCATAGCCAGAAATGGAACTTTGGAGTTTGGAGAAGCACCCAAGGGGTCCTGGTATATAGTTTCAGGACATTTGCACGTGTCATATTCCTCTGGTAAAATTGAAGGTAAGGCCCTATCCATAAAGTTCACGTGGTAATACACCTTGCCTTAAAAGGACAACAACAAAGTTTGCCAACATAGCTGAGATAAGACCTATAATAAGTTCCCCTCAGATGCCAAAGTTCTCTATCCTCGTCCTACGTTTGATTCTTAGGGTGTTGTTGCTGTTGTGGAAACTCAATGTCCTTCAAAAACTATGTCACTGTGGTTTTGACACAACAGATTATACACAAAGTCATCACTAAAGTTGCATTAGTATCAGTCGTGCTCTATATATGACATACATTACCAGGAACGTATCTATGGTGACATTTACGAAAATTAAAATATACATTAATGTGTGTACAGATATGTCAGATTGTAATACACTGCCTGGCCAAAAAAAAAGTCACCACCAAAACAAAAGGTCACACACTCTAATATTTTGTTGGACCGCCTTTAGCTTTGATAATGGCACGCATTCGCTGTGGCATTGTTTCGCTAAGCTTCTGCAATGTCACAAGATTTATTTCCATCCAGTGTTGCATTCATTTCTCACCAAGATCTTGTATTGATGATGGTAGCAAAAAGCCTTGTCTAGCACATCCCAAAGATTCTCAATGGGGTTAGGGTCTAGACTCTGTGGTGGCCAATACATGTGTGAAAATGATGTCTCATGCTCCCTGTATTACAATTAGAGCCCGATGAATCCTGGCATTGTCATATTGGAATATGCCTGTGCCATCAGTGAAGTAAAAACCCATTGATGGAATAACCTGGTCATTCAGTATACTCAGATAGTCAGCTGACCTCATTCTTTGAGCACATACTATTGCTGCCCATGCAGTAATGCTCCAATAGGAGGCTCGTACCTATTTGCTTAGTTAAATCCAGTTGACTGGTTTTTCGGCCATGCAGTGTATTATTTTAGCAGCCAACCAACCCATTCACTTCTAAAGATTCATTTGGGATGATGACACAATATAATTTATAACAGAGTTTTGAATAAGCAGATCAAGCGTGAATACGACATTTGCCACAAGATCCATGTTTTTGCGCACAAAATAATTAGAACTGTGAGTACATGTGACGTAATATGACGAAGCCGGAAGTGTTCCAACTACTTCCCGCACGCGTTGAGTCGTTTTCAACCTCAGCGTTAGCTACAGTTAGCATTACTTTTTTTCTCATTATCTCGAAAGCTATTCTCGTCCCAGGAAGAAATGGCCTCACTAAATGGAAAACCAGATGTTATGTTTGTAAGTTACACCATAACATATTGTTACCTGATAACGTTTATTGACAGGGAGTGTTAGCAAGTTGGCTAACGTAAGCTAACTTTTATTGGAGCGCTAACGTTAGCTTGGCCGTGTGTGTTTAACAGTGTTATAGTTAGCTTGTTATAGCTCGTAAATTACGAATCATAGAGATGTATAAGTTAGTCATGCATTCATAGTTCCTAACTAGTGTCAATGAAAGTTATCGCAGATGTATTAATGTTTAACTTACCATTCTTAAGCGGATGCATTGTTAACGTCATAGTAACGTCACACTAATGTCATTTAAGCTGTATCAAATGTATGTTACAGTCGTTCGGTTACTCGACGTGTTTATATACTGTATGGCTTCGATAGGAAGACGACGATCTGCCATATGAAGAGGAGATTATCAGGAACCCATACTCGGTCAAGTGCTGGATGCGTTACATCGAATTCAAACAGAACGGAGCCAAAGCCACCCTCAACCTGATCTACGAGCGCGCTCTGAAGGAGCTACCTGGCAGGTAATGGACACCACAAACAAACTAACGGCATCGTACTGAAAAGCAGTTGGCCACGAATACCTGCAAATCCAGATTATTTTACACAAATGGCACATGCATGAATATGTTGCCTTTGCGAATGTCGATAACAACATTCTATTGTATTGTCAGTTTTAAGATGGTGCATAGGTTATATTTGCTTATCGTCCAATCTTTTTATTTTGTTTTGTATTTTACAGCTACAAGCTGTGGTATAATTACTTGAGAGAGAGACGGAAACAAGTCAAAGGGAAATGTATCACTGAACCGAGCTACGAAGAGATCAATAACTGCCATGAAAGAGCATTGGTGTTCATGCACAAGGTAATACTGAACCACCCGACAGTACAAAATGACATTTCTGACAAGTCTATGTGCTGCCACTTGTGCTTGAAACTAAATACCTGTCTTTGCTTAAACTAGATGCCCAGAATATGGCTTGATTACTGCCAGTTCCTTGTATCCCAAAGCAAGATCACAAGAAGCCGGCAAACATTTGACCGAGCCCTCCGAGCTCTTCCCGTTACTCAGCATCCGCGCATCTGGCCTCTGTATCTCCGCTTTGTCCGTAACCTTCCCCTGCCTGAGACTGCAATCCGAGTGTACCGCAGGTACCTTAAGGTGAGAGCACGGTATACAAACCAGTACACAGATCTTATTTAGCATACACTATAAGTTGTATTTGTGTGTGCCAGTGGAAAGAATTTTTGTCTTGCGGATGTCACCAATTTTACAAAAAGTTTTTATCAGCAAAGATATAACGTTGATAAGAGGGCAAAACACACTTTTTAAATAAATTGGAAAATCTCAACATGCGCTGTCTGCTATTTGTATCGTGCAGCTTTCCCCTGAAAATGCCGAGGAATACATTGACTACTTACGATCTGTTGGCCGCTTGGACGAAGCAGCTGTGCGACTCGCTGCTGTTGTCAATGATGAAAGCTTTGTGTCCAAAGAGGGCAAATCTAACTATCAAGTAAGATTTCATTATTCTATGCACTTTCAAATTTGCTTGGTTTTCTTAAGCTGACCCGGGAAAATGTATCTTATTTCAACATGTGTTTGTTGGACAGCTATGGCATGAGCTGTGCGACCTGATCTCCCAGAACCCTGATAAAGTGACGTCTCTCAAAGTAGGGGCCATTATCCGAGGAGGCCTCACTCGTTTCACTGACCAACTTGGAAAACTCTGGTGCTCCTTAGCTGACTATTACATTAGGAGCGGTCACTTTGAGAAGGTGTGTATCGTCGTAATAGCTTGAATTTATACATATTTACTTACTATACAGCCCATCATCATATTTAAATTCATTTTATCAAAATAACGAGATAGCACTGTGTTATATTAAGGGGGTTGACCTAAGATGGGTCCGACATTGTCTGAGGATTTCTGTGTCTTTATTTTCTCAGGCCCGGGATGTGTATGAGGAGGCCATCCTCACTGTGGTAACAGTTCGGGATTTCACACAAGTATTTGATAGTTACGCCCAGTTTGAAGAAAGCATGATCGCGGCAAAGATGGAGACCACAGCTGAGATGGGGAAGGATGAAGATGGTATGTGTTTGTATTCATTAAAATTGCCAAAGTTGCTTTTCCTTTTTCCTCATGCATGCCTCACTCTCTCTTCCCCCCCCCCCTTCCCTCCAGAGGACATAGACATGGAGCTTAGACTGGCCCGCTTCGAGCAGCTAATAGCTCG